AGGGGGGAGCACTAGGGACCGAGGCAGCGGGGAATGGAGGAGGTGGAGCGGGGGGGAGGATGGGAGGGGGAGGGAGAAGAGGGGGTGGGATAGTGTCGGACCAGGTGAGGGGCCTGGGAGCAGGGGCGAGAGGGTCAGTGGGGGGAGGAGTGGAATAGTAGGGTGTGGACTCATCAAAGACTACATCCCGACTGCGGAGGAAACGAGCTGAGGGGGGGTGAAGGAAGAGGTAGTCCGGGGAGGAGGGATTATGACCAAGGAAGATGCAGGGGGGGGTACGGGAGGCGAGCTTTCCCATGGTGCGGGGGCGGTCCGCAGGGTGAATGAGGACATACGCCCTGGAGCCCCACACACGGAGGGAGGAGACGTCAGGCTTTGCCGACGTCCAGAGCTCGGTGGGAGTGGTGGAGGGAAGGATAGGGTGGGGGTACAGGTTAGTAAGGAGGGTGGCGTGAAGGAGGGCATAGCCCCACAGAGAAGGGGGGCAAGGGGCATGGACGAGGAGACACCGAGCAATCTTGGTGATCTCCCAAACACGGCTCTCGGCCACACCATTCTGCTGGGGGGAGTGGGGGAGGGTGTGAGTCTGGCGAATGCCATGGAGCTCACAATAGGAGGCTACCTGACGATTAAGGAATTCGCCATCGCCATCAGTGTGAAGGCGGCGCACAGGGTGGCCAAAGTGGGTGCTCGCCTGCTTGAGCCAGGCGATGATCGCAGCCGGAGCGTCACCCTTCGAGCGAAGAAGGGAGACGGACGAATATCGGCTGTGATCATCGACCAGAACAAGCATGTAGCGATGGCCTTGGCGGGAAGGGGAGGGGTTGGGGCCCCAGAGGTCCATGTGAACAAGATCAAGCGGCTGAGCAGCAGCGGAGGGGGAACTCCGATGCGGCAGCTGCTTGAGCTTGCTCTGGACAAAGACGGAGCAGGGTGGGGCAAGGGAGGGAGGGAGGGGAGGGAGGGTGAGGGGAAGACCTCGAAGGAGATCTGAGGAGAGGGTCGAGCGGAGGGTGGCAAAGTTGGGGTGACCAAGCCTGTGGTGGAGGAGGACGGTGGGATGGGAGAGGGATCGACAGGAGCAGGTTGGGTCAGGGGGGAGGGGGGGAATGGTTGGGTTAGAAGGAGGGAGAGGAGGGGGAGGGATGTGAGGTGGGGGGAGGGAGCGGGAGACTGCCTGGGCAGAGGGAAGACGAGGAACTCGAAGGGTATATAGGCGGGAGCGAGGACAAAAGGGAATACGGGAGAGGAGGCGACCTGTGGGATGGTATAGGAGGCAGTGATTAGCGCGACCTGGGAAGAGGGTGGTGATACCGGCCTGTTGCAGGGATCGCTGGGAGAGGAGGTTAGTACGGAGGGAGGGGATGTGTAAACCAGTAACGGTACCTGAGGGGAAGAGGGGACAGGGGAGGGTAGAGGTGTGGCGACAGGGAATAGAGAAGCTGGAATCGGCACCAAGGAGGGAGGTGGGGGCTGGGAGAGGGTGAAGGGTACCAGCATCACGAAGGACGGACTCGGTGGCTCCACTGTCAAGGACAAAGTCCAGCATGGTGGAAGGGGGAGGATGTGGGGGAGGAGGTGGGATGGAGTACTGAATCACATTCTCATTAATAGCAGCCGAATACATAGAAGGGGCGGGGGTTCCAGCCTGACTACCCATGCCAACAAAACCAGAGGGGAAAGGAGTCACACTGCCAGTGGCTGAGGGCGCGGGAGACGCGCCCGAGAGGTGAGCTGCGGAAGCCGCGGTGCCGGCGGTCCAAGCGGGGTAGGGCTGCTGGGGGGGAGCCATAGGAGGAGGTGCAAGGGGGAGCGGCGACTGGAGGTCAAGCTTCTGCTGGAGCTGCTGGAGCTGCTGCTGCAACTGGGAGTAGAGGTGCTGCTGCCCCTGCTGCTGTTGCTGCTGGAACTGCTGCTGCTGCTGCTGCTGCTGAAACGGCTGCGGCAGGATCTGCTGCGGAGTCTGCTGCTGCTGCTGTTGCTGAGAGACGGCCTGGTGGGCCAAGGGGGAGGAGACGGGCTGGAAAAGAGGGGAGGTACGAACCTCTTGAGGAGTGGGGCGAGGGGAGAGGGAGGACCAGTGGGGGGGGGTGCCGGTGTTGCCGCCGGCAAACCACTCATCACTGAGCGCTTTGAAGCAAGAATCAGTGGCATGAGTGGTCTGGCCGCAGCGCTGATCCCGCGTGGGGCCATAGTGAGGGAGATACTGACAAGGAGGAAAGGCGGCTGCTGCACCACGTCCTGCGCCATTGCCACCACGACCCGCACCACCACCACAACCAGCTCCACGCCCAGCCCCACGCCCTCCCCTGGTGTTGCTCTGCTGAGCAACAGCGGCAGTTGAGGAGGAATGGCGCAAGAGGTCGGCCTCGGTGGTGATAATCCACTGGGCGACTTCAGCCTGGGTGATGCGCTTGTCGATCAGCTGCATGTAGGCGATCTTATGGGTGTCGAAGGCAGGAGTCAAGCCTTCAAGGAGGTGGCAGCAGAGCACTGTGTCCGGGTACGGCACGCCAAGAGCCGCCAGGCGCTGAGCGAGGTCGAGGACGCGACGCGTGAAGGCAGCTGCACCGGTGGTAGAGTCCATGGTGAGGCTCTGGAACTCCTTGATGAGGGAGTAGAGGGTGGCGACGTCCTGCCGATCATAGAGATCGGTGAGGAGGCGCCAGAGGTGGGAGGAGGAGGTGGGAGCAAGCTCGCGCTTGAGGGTGGGAGGAATGGTGGCGAGGAGGATGGTGAGCGCGCGCCGGTCAGCGACACGCCAGGCAGCGAGGTCGGTGATGTATGCGCGCTCGTGCCTGACGTACTCCACGAGCTCCGCCTGATACGTGTTGTAGGCGGCAGTGGCGGCGTCATGCTCGGCGCGGGAAGCCTCGAAAAGCAGCTGATGGCGGACGTGGTCGTTGAGGCCGGCACGGTAGGTGCGTATGGCGGTCTCGAAGCTCTGAGGGTCGTTGACATCAGGGGCGAAGGTTGGAGGATCGCCGGGGCTGACGGGATCATCGCCAGGAGGAGGTGCAGGGCTCGCGGGAGCATCCGGCTGAGCAGGCTGAAAACCGCGCTCCTCGAGACAGACAACGGCTTTCAGGTTGTAGCCGTTGACCATCACCGAGGACGGTTTGGGCATAGGAATGCCAATTGGCCGCGGTGTTGTCGGGCAGCAGCTCAAGAGCGTCGACGGAGGTAAGGTCCACCGAGGAATCGGACGCCATTGAGGAGGAGGAGGGGAAGGAAGGGGGGGGAGGAGGAAAAGGAAAGGAGGAGGAAAAGGAAAGGAGGAGGAAAAGGAAAGGAGGAGGAGAAGGGGGAGGGAGGAGACGGATAGGTGCGCGGAGCGCAGCTCTTAAGTCGCCGGGTTGCGGCGACCGGCTGCACGCCGAAACGGCGCGACGAACGAGAGCACGCGACGGCGGAATCGACGACGGGCGGGCGCACGCGGCGAAGAAATCGACCGACGGCCGTGCTCGCGCGGCGGCACAAAGGCGACGGGCGCGGAGAGTACGGGCGTGACGGGAGGATTTGTCGATGGGCGTGCGCGGGAGCCGTGTTGAACGGGCGCGCGGAAAGCGCGACGGAGAGGGCGCGACGACGGGCCGCGCGACGGAGGAGCGCACCAACGGGCGCAATAGGAGGATGCGACGGGCAGAAGCGCGTCGTAAGGCGCGACGGGAGGCGCACGGCGGAAGGGTGAGCGGGCGCGGCAAAAGGCGCGCGACGGGAGGAAGAGCGGGCGCGCCGGAATAGCGCGGCGGGAGAGGGCGCACGCGAGGCGCGGGAAGTAGCCTATGGAAGGGCTAGGCTTCGAAGACGAGGAGGAACGGCATAGGGCCGTGCTAGTTAGGATCGACTAAAGGTCGCGTGAGCCATTGTGGCTCTGAATACCATGAAGGAACTAGCTTGGAAGAGAAAAGATTGAATTGAGTAGGGAGCCAAGAGGCTCTTTTGTACAAAACAAGGAGCAAGGAAGAGTTGGAAGGGAAGCTCTCCTATTGGCCATAAAGTGGACCAATGGGAGAGGTTGCTTGTAGGGCAAGCAACCACAAAGTGTGGTGCTCTCCGATTGGCACAATGTGGACCAATGAGAGAGATTGCTTGGAAGGCAAGCAACCACAAAGTGTGGTGCTTGGTGATTGGTTGGTTCCTAGGACCAAGGACCATTTGGTTGGAATAGTGCCAACCAAATGTCTAGGGCCAAATCCAATCTTGACCAACCCAAAAGTGGGGTTGGTCAACCCAACCAACAACCCCCCAATAATTATAATGACTACACCTCCTAATCTAGGCATGCATGTTGTATAGATATATATTTTACAACAGGTAGGGGTGGAAGACAGCATACGAGGTGAGGGGGCGGTAGGGGTGGAAGACAGCATGCATGGTGAGGGGGCGGTAGGGGTGGAAGACAACATACGTGGTGAGGGGGCGGTAGGGTTGGAAGACAGCATACGTGGTGAGGGGGCGGTAATGGTGGAAGACAGCATACGTGGTGGTGAGGGGGCGGTAGGGATGGAAGACAGCATACGTGGTGAGGGGGCGGTAGGGGTGGAAGACAGCATACGCGGTGAGGGGGCGGTAGGGGTGGAAGACAACATACGTGGTGAGGGGGCGGGGCAGCAGGGGTGGAAGACAGCATACGTGGTGAGGGGGCGGTAGGGGTGGAAGACAGCATGCGAGGTGAGAGGGCGGTAGGGGTGGAAGACATCATACGAGGTGAGGGGGCGGTAGGGGTGGATGACAGCATACGTGGTGAGGGGGCGGTAGGGGTGGAAGACAGCATGCGAGGTGAGAGGGCGGTAGGGGTGGACAACAGCATATGAGGTGAGGGGGCGGGGCGGTAGGGATGGAAGACAGCATACGTGGTGAGGGGGCGGTAGGGGTGGAAGACAGCATACGTTGTGAGGGGGCGGTAAGGGTGGAAGACAGCATACGTGGTGAGACGGCGGTAGGGGTGGAAGACAGCACATGAGGTGAGGGGACGGTAGGGGTGGACGACAGCATACGTGGTGAGGGGGCGGTAGGGGTGGAAGACGATGAGGTTGAAGGAGAGTGCCTGCAGCAGCCGCATCTCCATCTGCAGCACGTCCTTCACCTCGTACCCCATGGCGCCGTGCCCGCACATGCCTGGAGACATGGGGGCAAGTGGCACAAGAACATGTATGTGAGCCCTAAACCCTTCACCCCGTACCCCATGGCGCCGTGCCCGCACATGCCTGGAGACATGGGGGCAAGGGGCACAAGAACATGTATGTGAGCCCTAAACCCTTCACCCCGTACCCCATGGCGCCGTGCCCGCACATGCCTGGAGACATGGGGGCAAGGGGCACAAGAACATGTATGTGAGCCCTAAAGCTAAGTTGGGAAAAACGCTCACTTTGGATAGCATATTGCGTTTAAATGCATACAAAATACGTACGCTGCATTTTTTGTCTCGATACGCCGAAATACGCACGGGCTGACCGGAAAAAAAAACCCAATAATTTGCAAAATTTTGTGTCTTGGCGAAAGATATTCTCGCCTTCGCACATCGCGCGGACTCAACTTCGAGTTCAAATTTCGAACCCTAACCCCGCCAACCCCCCTTTCGAACCTCTGCCCACCCCTCTCCACCTCGTCACTTCCCAATCCCTCCCATGGAGGCAAGGTTCAAAATTACGGTTTTCGAAAAATACGGTCCATAAATTACGACCGTTTTTTTCGGGCAGATTTGGAAAAAAACGGCGTAATTTAAATAGAGCACATGGTTTTTTTTTCCCCAGGGGTAATGGCTCCTATGCGGTTTCAACGTCAACTGAATGCTTAGTAATGCACCATGGCACCTACAAGCATGGAAATCTGGAGTTGCTAGGCGGTAGAGTAAACTGGCTTAGATTCCAGCCAGAAAAACGCTCAAAACTACGTCCTGTGGTAGCTTAGAAAACGTCCTCTGTATTTGTATCTCACACACTTCGAAGTTGGGTTGAGAACGGCTTCGAAGAGAACCAAAATCCCTTGGGTTCTGTTTTTGAAACACGCTTCGACAGGGTGGTTTCGCAAATTGCGCGAGACCACCCTACTGGGCGCGAAATAACCAACGGGTTTCGCGAAGGGGGGGGTTCTTTCATAACAGCACAATAAATTTTTGGTGAAATGCGTGACTCAGGGTTTGGGTGAATTCGCGCTTCGGGAAAACGTTGACTTATGAACATTTGGGGGTGCACGTGTACCCCCATCCCCAAAATTCTGGTACGGAATTCGAGATTCTGAATGTACACCACAGATAAAAAAAAAGGCCGTAAAAAACGGCCGTTTTTTTTAACCAACCCAAAAAAGGTGATTTCGAGCTGTAATATTCGTATTATACGGCCGTAAATTACGAAACCGTAAAATATGGGCAAAAAATGTAAAAAACGCCGTAATTTTGAACCCTGCATGGAGGTGCACATGGATGGGAGTATAGGAGGAAGGGAGCACGAAAATGAGCGCATGTGAGCATGAGACCACTTGTGTGAGCCCTTAACCCTTCACCTCACGGAGTGACTCGAGGAGTGGCGGCACTCCACACCTCAGAGGCGCGAGTCATAAGCCGCGACGTACACATCTCACATAAATAAGATAGCAGCCGTGGTGTGCACTACTTACACGAGGCTGCCTTGAACTTCTATGAATTCGTCTTGCATCTCAAATAACAGCGCACCTCTCAATCAACAACAGTCTTGCCAATTGCCGCTCATCACTTAGCTAACGCCTCTGCTAAGATCACATACGCGTTGCTCTCATCCCACACGCGTCCATCAACCTCTCGCAGCGCATAAGCTCACATGGTTAACTCCCCCTCATTTCACACGCGTGGCTCTTCACCCTATGCACCAACTTCAGCGCCCGCCTGCACCGCGTGCACCCCTCGGTGTCCCTCAACCTCGTGCATGTGTCAGTGCGCCCTCCATGCCCCCCATACGCACACGCGTGGCTCTTCATCCTATGCACCAGCTTCAAGGCCTGCACCGTGCATTCCTCCGCCTTGGCCGCCACATACAGCGCCGCTGGCGCTGCCAGGCGCGGATCCAGGTCAGCGAATGACTTTCTGTTGGGCGTGTGGGGTGCAGGAGGAACACGGGAGAAGGGGGGGTGGGGGGGTGGGGGACGAAAGGGATAAGATAGATAAGCCACAGAGTGCACTCCTCCGCCGCGGCCGTCATATACAGTGCTGCAGGTGCTGCCAGGCGCGGGTCCAGGTCAGCAAAGGACTTCCTGGTACAAGAAAGGAGCGGGAGGAAAACGGAGGAGGTGTAAGCAAACATGGTGCTGTGCAGTCCTCTGTCTTTGCTGTCACGTACAGCGCTCCTGGCGCTGTCAGGCACGGATCCAGGTCAGCAAAGGACCTCCTTGCGGGGTGTGTGGGGGGGAAGGGGAGAGAAGACGAGGAGGGGGGGAGGGGGAGGGGGTGGAAGCAGAGGAGGGACGAATCGAACGCTCATGTGAGCTGGCAGAATTGCAAAGAGAGACGAAAATATGCATCTTTGGGACGAGGGAAAGGCGTTCTAGAGATATGAGCGAACGGTGGGGTGGGAAGGGAAGGGCAGAGGAGGGGGCGAAACGGGGGGCGGGGGGTGGTGGGGATGGGGGGGGCTCATCAGTTAAAGCAACTGCTTACTTGACATAGACGCGGCGGAAGTAGGAGATGGCTGTAGCCACCACCCTGTCGTGAAGGACGAGAGTGGGATTTTGTGAGGTGGGGGAGGGGAGTGAGTGAGGTGGAGAAGGGAAGGGAGATGGGGAA